CCATCTGAAAGCACTTCACTAATGAGCACTATACAGTTATGTATTTTTGAGATGAATGGGAATTTTAATTTTGAAGTAGTATTCATCATGGACTGACATCAGTTAACCAGTAGGAAGGAAAGCAGATGTCATCTAAGGATCTTGGGTGATAGTCGCACTATATTGTGAACTGACAGAAGTTGGAAAATGTGACCCATTGGATGAGTGGATAACACGTTCGCTTTGAAACTTGGAGGTTCCGAGTTCGATTCCTAACCGGGTCGTTGATCCGTACTGCTGAGGAGTTACATACTAAAACAAAAAAGCTGTCCAGTACTCTCAGGTTCCCAATCGGTCTGCAACTAATGTCAGTCCGTGATAAATACTACTTGGAAGTTAAAACCCCCATTTATCTCATAGATATATCATAAACGCAAAGATACTTTAGATATTGCCTTAACCAAAGGCTTTTTATCTGTAAGCCATATACAATTATATTAGTATACTTGAAGAAAAACAAGCAACTGTCTCTGTTGTCGACTTTATTTTTATGTATATGTATGTTAGACTAACGTCTAATATCTATGCATTTCTAATAGTATCACACTTTTGTTAAAAAACATAACTTAATTGTCCATTCCACTGAAAACAACTAATGACAGTAAGTTAATGAAAAAGTCTACAAATGACGTATAGAATTCTCATGAGATGATGGAACTTTACTTTAAGAATTTTCTACAGATTAAAATAGTAGATAGCTAGCTTAGAAACATATCATCAAGTAGCTACCACAAGCAAATCAACAAGCATATACATATTATGGTTATTTAGGAAGTGTAAGACTTGCTCCTTTTTTTAAAATGTAAAACAAACAAATAACGTTTTTACCTAATAAATAAATAAATAAATAAATAATTTCTCATTAACTATTGTTTTCTTCAAGTTTTATTTTAGTTTTATAGTCTTCTTCCTCTTCTAATCTCACCATTTCAGTATGATGTACTGGAGAAATACTGTCGCTCCTTTAACTCGCTACTATCTATCTACCTATCTATCTTTTTTTGTGGACAAGGATTGCCTTTCTCATCTTACAAAACTCTCTTTATCTCTCTTTCATATGGCGCCAACATAAAATAGTTTATCATATACATCAGTAATAACAGGATATACACTATTAAGAAATAACTAATGTATATTTTCTATTCGAAAGTATTATAATATGATGTTGACTGGATAGCATCATTACTTTTTCTCTTTGATAAAGGTAAAATAGATGATTTAAAGCGTGTGAATTCATTTCAAGATTAAATTGTCTTTAATTGGTGGAGAAAAAACAAACAAACTACACGCATTTAGAAATCATTCTACTATACTACTCAACAACTTTAGACAACACTAGTAATAGTAAGAAGAGTAGAGTTGTATTAACAATAAGTAACAGAAGTGTTATAATATGTGTGTGTGTAATGTTAATTAATGTAAACCAGTTGTTCAATGTTTCAACATTCAATTTTCAATATACACTAACCACTTCTGTTAATGAATATCATATTTTCTTCCACTCCTGTTAGTTCTAACAAATTTTAACACATTATTCATTTTCTCACACAATAATGTATATACAGATTACTTTATTTACTTAAATAGATTTTAACATAGAGATTAAACTAATAACATAACTGTAGGTTGAATAGTGTAGTTACAGTCATTCAAAACCATATTCAGTATTATATTAGTATTGATTTATCTTACGAAGTGAATACCAGACTAGTACTGGTAATGCTAATTATAATAGTGTTTATTAAGATTATAATTCTAGACATTTGCGGGTATCACAAATCTAAACAGCGTATAGGCTTAGTAAGTAAATTATTGCCTTTAATTCATCGCATTACAACGCAATAGGTAGTAATGTTATTACCGACTTTATGCATAATCATCATAATTACAACTAGTAAACCTAAAACTTCCATTCTAGTTAATTTATTAAATGTATCATATAGTGGAATAGTGTTATTTACTAAATTACGTTTCCGACGCAATTTATAGTCCACAGTTACATCAAGATGACTCCATAACTTTGAGACATAGTTTACCACAACCTTTGCAATGATTGCGATAGGATTCTGAATAAGGCGGAGATCAGCGTAGCAAATAAAACCTACAAACTCACTTAGAAATAAGCTTTGTAGATTAAAAGTTTTTATTAACCTAATTAAGCAAAATAATTTTCTTTACCAAATCCCTTGCAACGACTACAAGGTCAAATACATAGGTCAAAATGACCGAGAATATTTGTAGCTTAGACGGTTTGTTTTGAATGGTGTTGTGTGTTATCTGAACCGGAACTTTTATTTTCATTCTAGACAGCATCATCAACATAAACTTCTGAAGTTTATGTTCAGAGGACATATAACATCATCAAAGTGTAGGTCAGAGTAGTCGATCAGGTGGAATTACGCACAAAAAACCTAGCTAGGTCAAGATTGTTAGGTCCTAGTAAAAGATAAGGAATCTAGAAAAAAGCTCTACCATAGGTACGCATGAAATTACACACAACCATACAATAGGACGGGAACCGGGTGAAAATCTTTAGAACTAACATAGCATGGTGGAGGAAGAGATTGATAATCGAATGTTTGTATATCGAACCAATCACCACATGAGTAACGCAGAAGTCAGGAGTAGATTTTTAGGGAGAAGAGGTAAATCAGTTGACGACGTTGTGAACCTTCATCGACTGAGATGGTTGGGACACGTACTACGTATGCCTAGTAACCGATTGCCTCATCACACAATGTTGGTTGAAGTAGGTCCAGGCTGGAAAAAGGTCCGATGTGGCCAGACTAAAACATGGCATCAATATATGAAGTCTCTGACTGTTCGTTTAACCCAATGTAGGATGATGCAGATTAGCCGGTTGGCGTCGACGGGACAAGATAAACCAGTGGTTGGAGACTCAAGGTGATCTCACCGTAGGCTCTAACACGCCCACAAGCGTTCGAGTAGAGAGCCTTCAATAAGGTGATGTACTCACTCGGCACGCCTTTCAGTGATAGACATTGCCATAAGACTTCTCGATCAATGAAGTCGAATGACGCCTTCAGATCGAGAAATACAGCCAGTGTCGGGCGCCGGTAAGCGTGTATGTGTTCCAAAACCCGGAGCAGTGTGAATACTTGGTCGGTATATCCGCGGTCAGGTCTAAAGCCTGCTTGGTTTTCTCAGGCTTACTGTTCCCGAGCTCCACTCAGGCATCGAAGAATTATAGAACAAAGAATTTTAGATACTATATTCGTCAGGCTGATTCCTCTGTGGTTATCACAAGAGGACTTCTCGCCTTTCTTGAAGACTGGGATAATCAGTGATTTAGACCAGTCAGAATGGATAGAATTCGATTCCCATATACTGGTTAACACCTCCGTTAACTTGCCTAAGACCACTCTGTCACCGTCCTTGTATACCTCTGGAGTTAGTCCGTCTGTTCCTGGTGGCCTTCCTCGTTTCAGGTTACTTACTGCTTTCTTGACTTCTGTTAGTGTTCCACTCAGGGTCCGACTGGATGGCAGGTAACGCAATGTTAGCTAGGCACCAGTTAAGCTGTTACTCGAAGTGTTCTTATTGGAAATACTAAAAGAAATACTGTAATGCAAGTAAATCCAAGTGATGAATTCCAAAGAAAGCATGGTATACATCTTACGTTCCACTAACAATCACTATCAATTATACAACAATGGAATTATAGGTTATCTTAGAAGAAACTATCAATGAAACTTCAGTCTCCTTAAAACTTTCGTAATAACTTGAAAGAAATTTAAAGTGCACGAAGATAAATCACTCATATCATAGTGAATGTTTGCCACTTAGTCTCGCCAGTTGAAGTAATTTAGGCAATTTATAAGGGTATATATCAATCGTTAGTACACAAATCTAGTTGAGCATTCGGAAAGTTTATGAAGCTAATTTGTGCCATGAGCTAGCTGGCGGTCAGTTTCCGAACTGAACGAAAACTAACAAAGAAAACCGTTCCTTTTTTATCGTTATACCTGTTGATAATGTAAAAAACAACCAGTTGTTAAGATGGTCAGTAGCAGTTTACAATTGATAGGAACTTGATATCATCCTTATTTTTAGTCAATTACAATGATGGAACTGCTCGTTATTCAGTTTTGAAGAGTTTCTTTGGAGCTTATTATTTTGAGGGTGGGGTGGGGTGGGGATACGATATTTATCTTCAGCCTCAACTATTAATGGTGGATAGTTGCTAGGATTGGGATCCGGGACGCCCATTTCGTCCTATTTGGGACTCGTCAGCTGGATGTACCTGCCTCCCAGTGATGTTCCCGCTGGGACTCGAACTCAGGACCGACCGCTTCAAACGCCAGAGAGTTATCCGCTAGACCACTGAGTCGCGATGGCCACTTCTTGTGAGATGGGTATAGCTTTAATGTCGTTACTTGTATTATCTCATCGTTGATTGGACCGAATTGATCAGTCCCTATTAGCATATGGGCTCCCGCGTGGATGCCTTGATATTTCTTGTGTTTCAATTATGTGTATATTAGTAATACAAAGCTATGAACAAGTGAATGTCAGCGGATTTACTCCCATGGTTAGTCAGTCTACCGACCAATTTCCATCCCAAGATTAGATGAGCAATTTCCTGTCTCCACATACAACAGTCTCTATCTAGCCTATCATTGTCTTTTTACCCACTTCTTCTTTGTGTACTATTGTGAAGTGTATAAATCAAACTGATTCACTTATCTCCAAGGTTGAAGGTTCATTTTTTGATTTTTCTTTTCTCAAACAGTTAAAGTTGCACGTGATGTCATTTATCTATACAATTCAGGGTGTATAATTTGGTAAGGTACATAGAATCAGATATTTTATTTCCATCTGATATTCACACCTAACATTTGAATAAGTTATAAAGCATATAGAGTTTAAAGTTTCAACAGACAGACTAATTAGTTAGAATACAGTACACATATTTTTTTTAACAGGAAAGAAGCATTTACCTGTAAATCCGGGTTGACATTTACAAGTAGCATGATTACTTTGTGTTATATTCAACTGGTCAGTATTATCCTGCAGTAAACATGTTCCTCGATTAAGACAAGGTGATCGTTCACAATAATCCACTACATTTTCACAGTATACACCAGAAAATCCAGGTTTACAACTACACATCATACTATTAGTATTAATATCATTAATATGGCCAATCAAGTTGTTATTATTGGTAAGTTTGAGGCAGCTACCATTGTTCAAACATGGAGTTTTGAAACAATCAAATGATTTTATCTAAATGAATTGAGAATAAAAAGTAGTGGTTAGTTGAAACTTTTGTCATATAAATGGTTAGATAATGTATACATATACACATTTGTTATTATCATGACCCTAATGATTGTTTCGAGGGAGCAAAGTAGCCTCTTTCACCTACATCTACCTAGGCAGGGCAGCATCATTTCAACTACAGGCGGCACAGGCACAGACGAGGACGTCAAAGTCAGCCAGGATCGGAAAGATACCAAGACAGGCGTTCATTAGCCTGAAACCAGTGTGCAGGTCTACTGTACTGAACTGCACTCAGCATAAAGTGTGAACAATATCCGGATTTTCAACACTAATTCAGTCGAGTAAGTGAGTGAATCTATGTGATGGTTGAGAGACTTGGTGCGTTATGAAAAGCATTCCCAACAAACTACAGACATTGATCAACAACTGCCGCCTACGCTGGCTCCTTACTGAAGATCAGATGGCCAGAAAGAATCAGCAACAAGGAACTCCGGCAACGAACCAACTGAGCAAGAACCTATCACTCAACAAATATGAGCTGGAAGGAAGTGGAAATGGATTGGACTGGACATACACTGAGAAGACCCACTGGGGACATCACGCGTCAGGCCAGTCACTCGAGTGGAACACAGATGGGAAGTGACGAGTTGGGCATCCGAGGTGAGGGTGATATGGAGGAGATGGTGTGAGGAAGAAATGAGAGGTTGTGGACTGTCGTGGAGCGAGTTTCAAGATTGCAGAGAAGAGAGTTGAATGGAGACGTGCTACTGAAGCGTATGTTCCACTAGAAACCCAAGGGACAAATAATAAAATAAATAATGATTGTTGCGATACTCTAGATAACTAATCTGTCTCAGAATTGTTCTCAGTAGTGAGCAAATACATTCACCCACCTATTATCATTCATTATTGTCATTGTTTTAACCATCCTTCCACTTTTTCGATAACTTTCTCCTACTACAGTGGGTGCTACTGATAAGGATTGATATAAGTAGTTTATGTTGAGAAGTCGGCAGAAATCACAGGCAACTTACTAGGAATGGGTAAATATTCTACCCTGAGAAACGCAAGAGATAAAGCGGGCATATTATTAACAAATCGAGATAGGAGAAAAATAGATAATGAAACACACTGCTCTACAAGATATCATAATAAACATTCTGTCATGAATTTCAGTCATTATCGTTTTTAGACTACTACTTTTCATTGCTTTCTTTACTATTTCTTTACCTTTCATCTTGATGATGCACTGATGTGAAGTATGAACCGTTAGGCAGTAGGATCACGGGCTCATTCTTATACCGTCTGACTGATGATACGAATGATGGTCTAGCTAGCTACACATATGAATGAATCCTTAAGTGGTAATCACCTAAACGTTAGGAAAACTATTTATTAACAAAACGATACTTTCAAAAGAAAATCTGTCATAGCCATTTGTTGAATAATTCACTCAACAAACTATATTGTATTTCAACTCACTGTTTCAACTTCAATTGTAATTAATTCTTCACAGAATAATCCTTGATAGTTTTGTAGACATTTACAATTAGCTTTTCCATTCTCTGAAACACATTGTCCACCGTTTTGACAGATTATATCTTTACAATAATCAATTTTGATTTCACACAATTTGCCTTGATAACCTAGTTAAACAGAGTACAGAATAAGCGATTTAACCGGCAGTTTTTAAAATGAGGCAAATAAAATTACTCATCATAGTTAGGTATTCATTTTATGTTAGTATACTAGTGGTAGCATAAAAATGCCTGGCTGCCGCCGTCTAAACGTGGTGGGAGGAGGGCTGATAATAGCTGAGAGATGAGTAGGAGGAGGCTAGGCACTAGATGCCGTTCCAGCTAGGGAGGTACGAGTAGATACCCTGGAATTTAGGGCCACCTCCGTTAGTGGGAGTGTATGAACCATTGTGTACACCATTTTCATGCATACGCAGCTAGTTAGAAGGCGTCCACGTTGATGGTGACGTTTGGTCGATCTGAGAAAATACGAAAGACCTACAAAATCAAAATAGTGTAGAAGTAACCTTGCTTTAAAAGTATACAATAAACGAAAACAGTTATTGACAGTGGTTCATGATAATGGTTACTTCTACTTATTAAATAACAGCTGATAAGCTTTTTCGGATGAATTAGATTTCGTCACAAAATAAACAAATCGTTAGGATTAATTTTATCAGGATACTATGGATTTAGAATACCAAGCCAGGAGTTAGACAATCGATATTAAGCCCTGGATTTAAGTGTTTTACTTATAACCACTCAATGGCAAGGCTCATTTGAAACCATTAGGGAACGGGAGTCCTCTCCCCGCATCGACTTGAACGTTTTCACTCAGTGTCAAAGTTACAGACTTCAACACTCAGCTATTCAAGCCTATTGATTTTCTACTGGTTAACTCAATACAGAGCATCTTAGTTTAGTGGTCAGTACTGAGAACTTAGAGTCTGACTAATAGAACGATTGCCTTGGTGTAACCGATTCATGAACACCAAACTGGATTTGAGACTTACTTTGTATCTCAATGGGACTTAGTCCTATGTTTATAGATAATGATGTGAATAGTATATATGGCACTGTTAAGAAGCATTGTAGTCCTTTTTAAAACAGGAAAGTAAACTGTTTGATGTCTTATTCAGAAATGTTTATAAATTATGGTGGGCTCTGATCAGATAATTTATTTGTCTGTATAGAGATGAATGAGATCATCCAATGTGTGTTGTAGGCGGTTGGAAGGGCAGGATTGCGTGACTGAGTATGAGAAAGTGGGCAGGTATATTCGAGGTCGGCGTTAAGACTGAATAACCATACTACGTGGTTAAGTCAGCTGTGGTCAGATAAAGTTGACGACTGGGTTAACTGAAGAAAAATTCTGTATTATAAATTATTTCTATTATTATTTTATAAACCACTTGGATGTATTTGCTTACCTTCGTTACAACGACATATAAAGAGATCACTCGACTCATTCCATGCAACACTTTGATTCGATGTACCTAAATCTAAACAGGTAGAATTGTTTAGACATGCTGAATTAGCACAAGGTCGTATACGATTTTCACAGTGTGGGCCAGTCCATCCAGGTAAACAATGACATGTATAACTATTTATTAAATCTTCACATTGACCTCCATTTTTACACGGTGAAGAGGAACATTCATTCACTTCATCTTCACATGTTACTCCTTCATAACCTGAAGGAAGTAAATATGTAATAATAATGAAAAATAAATTTTTTGACAAGAGAATTCAATTATCTACCCCTACTCATCATGAAACACAGAAGTCAAATACAAGTTAATAACCAGTATTTGTCTAAGTAACTTACTTAGGCAGAAACTTACTTATTCCACTCCAATAAGCTGTAAAATTAGAAATTCTTTAAGACAAACCATTAAGTTCATTGTTTTCTCGGTGACGTCTATAACTTCTATACTCCATTTCCTTTTAGAAACGCGTTGCAATAAAATCATGTTTTTACAATGTGTTGATACTTTTTTAACTCCCTATTGTTATGCTGCATTAAATTGATCGACCTCTGTTGACATATGGGTTCCTGTGCGGTTGTCTCGAGATTGCTTGACTATTTTGTTGTTATAAATAACCTGGTAGTGGTTAGCAGTGGAATCTAAGATGTGCGTTTTGTCCCATTTTGGCATTTTAAGTGACGAATATGGGGTTGGAATTTCAGTGGGAACACTACCGCTCCTTAGGATGAAGGTACATCCAGCTGACGAGCCCAAACTAAGGCGAAACGTGAGTACTGAATTCCATTGCTAGCCACCACCAAGTGAGTTCAAACAAAATCATGTTTTGTTCCTAAACGATAATTAAAACAAATGTGTTCTAGTAGTTACCTATGGATAAACATAGCTAATTAACTCCAAGGTAGTGCACAAAGATAGTTATGTAGCCCAAAGCTTCTTGTAGGGATCTGCTCATAACTACTCAGGTTCAACTTCACTACAATGATTCTATATCGATAGTTGTTAATTGATTTCTTGGAGAGTTGTAAAGACAGAACACAACCTCCAATCCACTTCTTGCTTTCACAAATCGCTTGCTGCTATCTGAGCACCAGTTGAGTCATCATTGAGATGACTATTTCTCTAATGATAAACATAAAGGAAGATGCATAAATCTAGTCATTTATCTGATACATTTTGGAAAATTATAAGTAGTAAGTGGTGTTTTCATTGTATATTTTATAAATAACAGTGTGTTATTTACATTGACTGCTCATGGGAGAGCAACCAATTTCATGTTGTCTAGTCCTGAATGAAGACTGAATTCTATCGGTCATGTTTGCAGTGTCGCTATCAAACTAAGAGGCATAGCAGTGTACATTGGTAAACGTTAGTTAGTTGGAGGCAATCGGCAGGAAGCCCTGAACCTTGGTTTTATACTTCTTGCAAGTCATCAACCTTCTAGCTTGGTGAGCACATTGCAAATATGGTCGATAGAATTCGGTCTGCACTCTCAGGACTAGACAGCGTGAAATTGGCTGCTTCCCCGTGACCAATTTATGTACGTAACCCAATCCTATAGGAAGTAGATCGTGACTTGAATAGCTCGTTGGTAACGTCGGGGTTGCAGATACGCCTTGCTGACGAGTCCCAACAAGCACGAAACTCAGGTCCATGGCTTCCTGCCGATTGCCCCCAACCAACTAACAGTGTGTTGACTGAATAGATTCAGTACTGTGATACCCTAAAAATTAATTGTGCATGTGAACATGATCCATAGGATATTCAGGATTTAGGTGTTTCTGTTTTCTGGTTTTCATCATCAAAGTCTGTCTCCAATGGACAGAAAATTCACAATCTTTCAGAAATTCTAACCCTTTTCAGCAATCATCTATTACCTGAAGTGATAGGCTTCAGTGGAAATTTTCTCTAGTTCCGAAAAATATCAGGCATATTGAAACAGTCAACTGTTTGAAAATCGGTAACCCTAATGAATCACTTTATACCCTACGTTTTAAATACTACTAGAAACTGAAAAAACTAATATGATGAATTCATATCAAGTCGATGAAATCCCGCTAGAAGCACTGAAAACAGACGCAGAGACAACAGCGGACATGCTCACACCACTATTGCAGAGGTCTGGAAGGAAAGAAAGGTACTTGCAGATTGGAAGAAGGGTTACCTTGTCAAACTCCTGAAGAAGAGAAACCTAAGTCTTTGCAAGGATTGGCGCGGAATCATGCTCCACCTCCGTCCACCCCGAGCAAAATATTAAGCCACATCATCCTGGAGAGACTAAGCGATGCACTGGATTCAAAACTACGATCGGAACAGGCTGGCTGGCTGGATTCAGGAAGAACAAATCATATGGAGATCAAATTGCAACGCTACACTACGCATCATCACAGAACAGAGTATAGAATGGCACTCAACTCTCTACCTCAATTTCATCGATTTTGGAAAGGCCTTCGACAGCGTCGACTGAGAAGTAATTTGGAAACTGCTACCTTAACACTACTGAGTGCCACAAATCTTAATCAATCTCATTCAACAAGTATATGAAGACGCCACATGCCAAGTAATTCACAATGGAAAGCTCAGTGATGCTATTGAAGTGAAGACAGGAAGGAGTAAGACAAGGCTGTCTACTATCACTGATGACATTCCTGACTGTAGTAGCTGCGGTACCGCGGCTAACAATAGAGAGTGAAGTGGTTGAGTGTGTTAACTACTTCACTTACCTGGGAAGTAGGATCAACCCCGGTGAGTTAGTTGCCGATGAGATTTCTGCACGGATACAAAAGGCTCGATTGGCTTTTGCCTATTTGCGCCACCTATGGCGCTGCCGTGATATCCGTTTGTCTATTAAGGGTCGCGTGTACTGCACAACAGTCCGCTCTGTTCTACTGTATGGCTGTGAAACATGGCCATTGAAAGTGGAAGATATAAAAAGGCTTCAAGTGTTTGACTTCTGTTGCCTTCGTAGTATAGGACGTATTCCGTGGTGTCCCAATGTGAGTCATGCAGAAGTCAGTTGTAGAGTTTTAAAGAGAAGAGGTAAGTCAGTTGACGAGGTTGTGAACCTTCATCGACTGAGATGGTTGGGACACGTACTACGTTTGCTTAGTCACCGATTGCCTCTTCACACAATGTTGGCTGAGATGGGTCCAGGCTGGCACCAATGTATGAAGTTTCTGACTGTTGGTTTAAGCCATGTAGGACGATGCAGACTAGGTGGTTGGGGTCGGCGGCATAAGAGGAACCAGTGGTTGGAGACCCTAGGTGATATGGCTCAGAACCGAAGTCAGTGGCGTAGATGTATATACACATTATCCTCATCTTAACAATGCTATACCGAATCTCACCATTTTGTCGCTCTTCTTTCCTTCCTTCTCGTACTTCATATTTCTTTTGACTGCATTCACTTATCTTCATCCTTCACCTCACAACCTTTCCACTTGATGAACTGACGTGAGGTGTGGCAACTCGGACCGTTACGCAGTAATGCCTGGTCCTACGTTGATAATGACTGATTGAGTGGACTGGATCATGCAACAAACAGTGAGGAGCGAGAAGAGGGGGATACGCTGGATCACGGAAAAGAACCTTGAAGATTAGGATTTCGCCGATGACTTATGTCTAATGTCACACAAACTCGAAGATCTACAGGCAAAAACTAACAAGTTGACACAAGAGGCGAGGCAGGGCAGCGAAGACGGCACTTCAAGTGAACGTAGAGAAGACACAGGTGATGAAGATACCCAACCAACGCCACCACCACCACCACCAACAACAACAACAACAAGCTCCAAACACCATCAATAGAAGAAACTTAGAGGAAGTAGCCTCCTACACCCACACCTATCTAGGAAACACTGTTTCAACTATGGGCGGCACAGGCACAGACGAGGATGTCAAAGTCAGCCAGGATCGGAAAGATACCAAGACAGGCGTTCATTAGCCTGAAACCAGTGTGCAGGTCTACTGTACTGAACTGCACTCAGCATAAAGTGTGAACAATATCCGGATTTTCAACACTAATTCAGTCGAGTAAGTGAGTGAATCTATGTGATGGTTGAGAGAGTTGGTGCGTTACGAAAGGAATTCCCAACAAACTACAGACATTGATCAACAGCTGTCTCCTACACTCACTCGTTACTGAAGATCAGATGGCCAGAAAGAATCAGCAACAAGGAACTCTGGCTGGCTGCCAACGAAGGAACCAAGAACCTATCACTCAACAAATATGCACTGGAAGGAAGTGTAGATGGATTGGACTGGACATGCACTGAGAAGACCATTCGGGGACATCACGCGACAGGCCAGTCACTCGAGTGGAACCCAGATGGGAAGTGACGAGTTGGGCGTCCGAGGTGAGGGTGACATGGAGGAGATGGTGTGAGGAAGAAATGAGAGGTTTTGGGCACTGGTGGAGCGATTTTCAAAAGATTTTAGAGAACAGAGCGCATTGGAGACGTTCTACTGAAGCCGTATGTTCTATTAGGAATCCAAGGGATAAATAATAATTATAATAATAATGATCTAAAGGGATTCCCTCTTATTTTTCAACAAGGGAGTTTCACAGAAAGAGTACAAATTTCGCCTTAAGAATCTTATATGTGCTCATAAAATGGTAGGACAGAAGTATGCCTATTCCATTATACATTATTTCCTCAGCCTTACAGTTATATTTAAGTGAAGAGTTTTCGTTTTGCTTATATATTTGTATAATGAGAAGAATTCGAGATTCTTATAAAGAACTGATAAAACTCATCATCGCTAGGTAGTACCAGAAGCTATAATGGGCATTTCGTCTTACATTATCATCAGTCATCTTGATGAATGTTAGTTTTCTTATTGTAACTTAACAGATGTATGTTCAAATGCTTTAGTGTTAGCCATTACAAATCAGTAGTAATAGACACTTCTTGTTCACTGGGTTCCAGGTGTATTAGGATTTGAACGAGTTTCAAAATATGATGAAATATGAGTTTTAGACCCTAATGTCGAACATTACGATAAGCGATTAAGATTATTTAGATATTCATGCAAATATCTAATATACTGATAGAAGAAGGTTGATCAATTCGACCCAATAAGTTCGACTCTGAGAAATATCCAGGGTTCAATTATCTTAACAGTTTTACAAAACTTGGCCTACATTCACACTTAACATTAGTGATGGACAATAGTTATCAGTGGAATTCAAGACGTGCGTTTCATCC